ATATATATATATATATTTTAATCGGGGACGATCTCCGTACTCCCATGGAAGAGACTCTAAGTAACACAGTGTGAATAAGCAAGCTTCAGAGGACCTATGTCACCAGTCCTTTAAATGTTTTTTTTTAATTTTTTTTTTTTATTATTTCTAGGAGAGAGAGAGAGACAGCATGAGCAGGGGAGGGTCAGAGAGAGAGGGAGACACGGACTCTGAAACAGGCTCCAGGCTCTGAGCTGGCAGTCAGCACAGAGCCCGACGCGGGGCTCGAACCCACGAACCGTGAGATCATGACCTAAGCGAAAGTCAGACGCTTAACCGACTAAGCCACCCAGGCGCCCCACCAGTCCTTTAAATGTGAAGTGCTTTGCATGTGCGTCTGTGGGTTGTTATATGTACAGAATTAAATCTAGATCATGAGCAGGAAGTAGGACGAACCTTACGCGAGAATGTTGCTAGTAAATATCGATGACATTTACAGCCATAGAAAGGCAATCATGATTTTATCAGCATGCCTTGATTTTATCGACATTTTATCCACAGCCTTGAAGCTGTGGATTGGGCCCCATGTCCTTTCTGGTTTTAGAATGCCAGAGGACGGGGGAGGGGAGCAACTGGAATTTCCAGCCACCCTGGCCTTGCCCGGCTCCTTCTTGATTTGACCCTCGGATGTCTGAGTGAGGGTCCGTGACAGGTGCCAGCGGTGGTGGCGATGACATGTCCCAAAGCACACGTGTTCCCTTTCGCGCAGCCCCTTCCGCCACGAAAGCTCCGCGCTCTTATCTGCACCAGGCAGGAGTCAAAAGTTCTGTCCGTGTGATTGCAGAGTACCAGGCTGGGAAACGTCCTGATAATGCCTGCATTCCTTTAGAAGAGCTGCGCCCGGGGTCGGGTCAGAGGTGCTACATGGCCTGGGCACGTTCTGTCCATGCAGCTACACAGTGAAGCAGATGCTATTCGGCAATGAAAAAAATAAAAAATAAAAAGAGGGCGCCTGAGTGGCTCTGTCGGTTGAGTGTCAACTCCGGCTCGGGTCTTGATCTCACAGTTTGTGGGCTCGAGCCCCACGCCGGGCTCTCTCTGCCTGTGCTTGTGCTCTAGCTCTCTCTCAAATAAACATAAAACTAAAAAAAAAAAAAAAAAAAAAAAAAAAGAAGGGATGTATAAAAATGTCATCGTATCCCACCTGGATTGATAGCCCCTCCCCCCACACTTTAAATCTGGACCTTGTCGGCCACCGAGGGTTTCCAAAATAGACCTGGAGACGGGAGAAAACAAAGAAAATCCAAATAAATAAATAAATACCCACCCCCCGTTGTTTCTGAGACACATTTGTGGCTTTTATGGACAGCAGCGCATTCGTTGAAAGGGGCTTCATGCCCCCGGTGACCTTGGCTAATTCTGGCATCTAGGAACTTCAATTCGGGGGCGGCCCCAGCTTATCCTGATTAGGGAAGTTTGCTCAAGGCTCTGTGCCGTGTGTCCTGCCTTGTTCCCGTACATGATGCATCTCGTCATCTTAGTTACACGTCTCGCTGTAAAACAGAGGGCGACAGGGACACCTGGGGGGCTCAGTCAGTTAGGCGTCCGACTTCGGCTCAGGTCGCGATCTCATGGTTCATGGGTTTGAGCCCCGCGTTGGGCTCTGTGCTGACAGCTCAGAGCCTGGAGCCTGTCTTCAGATTCTGTGTCTCCCTCTCTCTCTCTGACCCTCCTCTGTTCACACTGCCTCTCTCTCTCTCTGTCTCAGAAATAAATAAAACAGGGGCGCCTGGGTGGCTTAGTCGGTTAAGCGTCCGACTTTCGCTTAGGTCATGATCTCGCGGTTCGTGGGGTCGAGCCCCGCGTCGGGCTCTGTGCTGACTGCCAGCTCAGAGCCTGGAGCCTGTTTCAGTCTGTGACTCCCTCTCTCTCTGACCCTCCCCTGCTCACGCTGTCTCTCTCTCTCTCTCCTAGAAATAAATAAAACATTTAAAAAAATAAAAAAAAAAGAAATAAAACATTAAAAAAAAAAACAGGGCGACGGGCATTCTCCTTTGGCCTCTTTCTGTATCCAGTGGTCTCTTTCTTTCCATCATCTTCTCTGATTTAGTTTCTTTTTTTTTTTTTTTAATAGTTTATTGTCAAGTTGGTTTCCATATAACACCCAGTGCTCATCCCCACAAGTGCCCTCCTCCATGCCCATCACCCCCCTTCCCCTCTCCCCGCCCCCATCAGCCCTCAGGTTGTTCTCAGCGTTCAAGAGTCTCTCATGGTTTGCCTCTCTCCCTTTCCCCCACCATTTCCCCCCTTCTTCTCCCCCATGGTCCTCAGTTAAGTTCCTCCTAATCCTCCTCTACGTGCAAACATATGATATTTGTCCTTCTCTGCCTGACTTATTTCACTCAGCATAACACCCTCAAGGTCCATCCATGTTGCTGCACATGGCCAGATCTGATTTAGTTTCCAAAAGGGATGGGTTTCACATAGAAAACGTGCAGGCATGCCGGGCGCCTGGGTGGCTCAGTCGGTTGAGTGTCCAACTCTTGATTTCCACTCAAGTCGTGATCCCAGAATTATGGGATCGAGCCCTGCATCAGGCTCCCCTGGGTCATGGGATCGAGCCCTGTGTTGGGCGCCCTGCTCTCTCCCTCTCTCTCTGTCCCTCCCCTCCTGTGCTCTAGCTCTCCCCCTCTCTCAAAATAAATAAATAAAAACATTGTTTTCAGTTTGCATATGTCCCACGTGCTTCCCTCCAGACGGCCTCAACTTTTACAAACGCCAAGTTCCCATTTGGAGTAGACAGAGGAGAAACCACAGAACTGAACTCCTATCTTCACTCTTGCCTTGAACTAGAAACAGATCAAAGGGGATAGATACGCGCCCCTGGCAGAGATGACACGTTAAAGCATTTCCAAAAGGCACCTGGGTCCGCGCCTGAGCCCCTGACCCCGTTCTTGGGTTTCACCCCATCAGGTAACCAGGTTAATTTCTCCAAATCCGCAGATGCGTTTGCCTTCGAAGAGGACAGCAGCAGCGATGGGCTCTCCCCGGATCAGGCTCGAGGCGAAGACCCCCAGGGCTCAGCGGGATCCCCTGCGGACACCAAAGCTTCTGAGACCCCTTTGGCAGGTCCCCTGGGGGCAATCCAGGTAAATAAACCGCACCCCAGCCTGTCATGATTTCTTAAAGGCACACTGCCACCTTTGGTTTTGCATAGTGACCCCAGGTCCCGTCTCTTGATCGCTCTTGATCTCGCTTCAGATTCGTGCCTCTTCTTACCCCATCCGGTCCAGGGATCGGCATGAAGTGGCCAAAGCTTCCAGAAATCACTGAAAGAGGAGCCTCAGGGCTATACTATATATACCCTTTGACTTAACTTTGTCAACAGCTACACTGCCTAGTAGATACCTTTTATCTCCCAACTTGAGGGACACGTCTAAAAGAGGCTCACTGAGCTCGTGTGACTCACCAGTAAGCACCCCGATAGAATGTGCCAGAGCAGGCTTGGGGCCTCAAAGCCCACAGACTTTCCATGGACTAAACATTCTCTGCAGGGGCCTGGGAGAGAGGAGACCAGGAAGTGCTGATGGGCTACAAAGCAGGGATCCCCGAGGTAGCTCTGGGGCCAGCAGGTTTCTTCTACCTCCCGCACCACGGTGGGGGCTGTGTCCACCCAGCCCGAGAACCCTACTTCCCCCCTTTCTGGATCAATCCACAAACACTTGAGGCATGAGGAATGTATATTGCACATATCGTTAAAGGACACATGTATATGAAAAATAATTAACCGTTGCTAGAGCCAGGGCACCTTCCAGATGTTTTCTTTGAGATGACACACGGTCAATGTCCCTGTGAGGCTGAGCAGCTAGCTGCATGGCCTCTAGACATTGCAGATTCCCAAACCCCCAGGTTCTAGAAGCCACACAGAGGCCTGATGGGGGCTTCCCTCAACCTAGCATGAGGTATTCATGCAGACCCGAAGAGGAGATGTGTGGACGTGCATGCGCACGCGCACACTCACACACACACACATGCACTGTTCCGGAACCCATGTTACTTGCTGGTCATCGTCACGCCCTCCTTCACGCCGCAAAGTGAGCAAAGCAGACACCTGCCCAGGAGAAAATGCAGAATGGGAGGGAAAAGACGACAAGGAGACTCAAAATACCCATGCGTGTACTGCGCGCAGGTTTGCAGTCAAAGCGTCTTCCCTTCCCCTGCGTCCGGCGGCTGGTCTCCGCAGCCAGCTTTCTTTAATGGCAGCAAACAGCATTTTGGATCATTTGTACCCACTGTTCTGACAGCAGACTCCGCAGCTATGGATTTAAGAATGGTCTGAGGAGAAGACAGGTTCTTTTCTGCTGAATCCAGTTCAAAGAGGAGGAGCCGGGGGTTGGTGCCAGGCCGGGTACAGAAGTCATTCTGTGATTGTACCCAGCAGTCCCCCTGAGCAGATAAGGACACAGAAGCTCTGGAGAACAGGATTCTATAGACCTTTCTCACGTGCTGGGGCTCAGGAAGGTCGGAGAAACTCCAGGGGATCATGCGCGGCACCCCGACCCTTTGTGTCACGGCGTCGGATCGCAGGCAAGGGACAGAAGATTACTCTTTTTGACAAGGTCTCTGCATCCTGAAACATAAAGGTTGTTCGTGATGCTACACACACACACCTCACATGTACACACATGTACACGTACATATATACATGTCCATGTAAATATACATAAACATGCAGACATGCCTCAGACACAGACATATATGTACACACATGCACATATACACATGTGCTCATAAATAACTATATGTAAACACACAAATACCACATACACACACTTAGCCACACGCACATGCACATCAATGTACATAAACACACACACACACACATATACACACACTCACCTGTACACATGTGCACATGAATTTACATAAACATGCACACATCTACACACAGATATGTAGACACACATACACATATATGTACACATACCTATGCATATATGCATACGCATCTACACACACATAGACCTATATGTACAGACATGCATGCATGTATATACAGACCCACAAAAACACAGCACACACAGATAAACACACAAACATGTGCACACAGACAGATACACACAGGCACACGTACAGACATACATACCCAGAAACACACGTGCACATTTACCCTCCCATCCGCTAACTCCCTTTTTATCATTTTTTGGGGTCCTACGTTCCCCCGAAATGCCTACACCCACTTCTCCCTCCTCGTTTTTCCTTCAGTCCCATTATCAAGGCCAACAGGCAGACCTCGTCACAGGTAGAACTCTCTCACAGAAAGAGTTGACCAGCTGTCCGGGTTCTGGGTTGGCCTAGAACAGGCCATTTCTTTACCTGTTTTTTGGAAGAATTATTGATGATGACCCCCTTATCTCTCAGCAGTGGCCTCAGTTGTCTGACAAATTATATGTATATATACAATATGTATATAACTGTTATACCATATGTATGATGTAATAATTACATATAATACATACATTATAATACATATAGTAATTTTTATATATTCTATATATAATATACAGTAAATTACATATATTCTACATGTAATATATGTACAGAATATATAATATATATTGGAGCCTGGGGAGGTAGTGGTAGCGGTCGGGCGGACACTCTACTTTATTTCTGTGTCCTACATTTTTCTCCTCCTGCATCCCGATAATGCCAAAACTTGGATTTCAGGATCATTCTTCCAGCTCGGAAAATGACAAGAATGACTCGGCCTCACAGCCCAGCAGCCAGTCAGACGCGGGGAGGCAAGGGCTGGGGGCTCTCGGCCCCTCCAGCGCTGGGCACGCCGCTGTGAAGGTAGGGTGGGCCAGCAGTGGGGGGAGGGGGCAGAGCTCTCTGACTTAGGTGTAGTAACGTGGGGGGCATCCACGCACCCCTGCGCAGGCTCAGGCCCCCGGGAGCATCGCCAGTCAGGGGAGGGGAGAGGGGCCCTCCGCGTGCGTGGACCAAGAGCCGGTTCGCTGTGCCAGCACAGCTCAGGTCTTCCATGCAGAGGAGAAACCTGCGAGCCCGCAGTTGTTTGGGGTCACAGCTCAGCCAGCTGGTCCTGACCTAAAAGACTGCATCGGGGCAGCCTGGAGGCAGCCACAGTGGATGGGAAGGCACATGGGTTGGCATGTGCCACCAGGCAGGTAGAGGGGAGTTGGGTTTTATGCAAGGGAAGCAAATCGGAGGGCTTGCGTGGTGTAAACCCCAGATCACTCAAGCCGGTCTCCCTTTTTTTGTTGTTGTTGTTTTGTTTTTGTTTTTTAATATTTTTTATTTATTTCTAGGGGAGAGAGAGAGAGAGCGTGAGCAGGGTCAGAGGGTCAGAGAGAGAGGGAGTCACAGACTCTGAAACAGGCTCCAGGCTCTGAGCTGTCAGCACAGAGTCCGACGCGGGGCTCGAACCCACGAACCGCGAGATCATGACCTAAGCGAAAGTCGGACGCTCAACCGACTAAGCCACCCAGGCGCCCCCCCCCCCCAAGCCGGTCTCCCTTTGGAGAGAAAGATCAAGGAAGGGGTTGCCTTCACAGTAGACTAATAACTCTAAGCATTATAGCAGGGTTTTGGGTAAATCTCCCCATTACAGCTAATGGTTCGCAGAAGGCTCTCTCCTCTTTCCAATTAAATGCCTGCTTATAATCACTGGGTCTTGTTGCTAATAACATTTCATCCCAAATAGCTTCTCTGGGGTCACCACTTAATGAAAGCGGAGATGTCTCTTATGAAACATTTGTTAAAAGAGCATTAGAATCAGCGTTGAAGTGACAGCCCCGGGTCCCTTCTACTGCACATACACAAAAGTGGCTCTCGTGTTCTGAGTGGATGACGGGCATTTCAGCTCCGCTGTGAACCTCCCAAACCTCGCGTGAAACCCACTCCTTGCTGAAACTTCCCGTGCAATTGACTCGGCTCAACAGCCTTTGAAACGACTGGACTGTTAGTAGATTTCGTTCACTGCAGGTGAAGGAAGGAGACGGTTCACATTATCTATACGTTGTGCACAAAGACAACTTTTGTTACTGTTTCTACCAATGTATTTAAGTGTTGCCTGAGTCCGATTAGCACTGCCTTCTGCCTCACTGTACTAAGGAGATGAGATAGTTGCCCAGAGGAAGGGCAGGTAGATTGCAATGAAGAGCAGGATGGATGGGCAGCATATCCAATGGGACCAGCTGTTGATGTGAGAGCCAACATCGCTGCTGGGCTGGTCAGCGCCTGTGAATTCTCAGTTGTTCGATACTCATTATCTCAAAAAGCCTATAGCCTAATTGGGTATCAGAGCCACCACTAACCCATACAGCGTTTTGAGCAGGTAAGAAGCATGTGCCGCAAAGGACTTGAATAGACGTTTCCCCAAAGATAAAGCAATTGCTGGGGCACCCGGGTGGCTCCGTCAGTTAAGCATCTGACTCTTGATTTTGGCTCAGGTCATGACCTCAAGGTTCATGGGTTTGAGACCCACATCAGGCTCTGTGCTGACAGAGCACAGCCTGCTTGGGATTCTCTCTCTCGCTCTCTCTCTGCCCCTCCCTGGCTTGCACTCTCTCTCTCTCAAAGTAAATAAATAAACTTAAGGGTAAAAAAAAAAAAGAATGCCTTCTTGCAAAAAACAGTCATGTACTTTTGAGCCACGGGCCAGATCGTTCCCTCTTAAACCACTGGATTTTGTATCCACCCTCTGTTTTAGAAAGCTATGCTCCCCTCCCATTGGCCAGTGGTTCATTTTCTATTTTCTACCTAGAAAAAAAAGGAAGGGAGGGAGGGAGGGAAGGAAGGAAGGAAGGAAGGAAGGAAGGAAGGAAGGAAGGAAGGAAGGAAGGAAAGAAAGGAAGAGGAGAAGAAAGGAAAGGAAAGGAAAGGAAAGGAAGGAAGGA